CCGCGGCTCCCAGCGTGATGATTGGGCGAAAGCCCGGCGGCCCCCCGGGCCACGCCCCTCTGCCTTTCTCCCCCGCGTTGCTACGTGACCCGCGTTCCAATCGCCAGGGGGCGGAGTCGGGGCGGCTCCAAAGATCCAGTGCGAGGGGGTGGGGGCCACCGCCGGAAGTGACGCCACCAGAGGGCGGGCTCCGCCGCTTTCAGTCTGAGGGCTGGCCTTGAGGGGTGGGGGCGCCTCTCCGCCCCCTGTCTTTCCCGGAGCCCTCTCTCTCTCGCCTCTAGGGTTCCTTTCGGGGTGCAGAGGCCCCCATGACGCTCCCTCGGGGACCCTCGCGACAGGGTCAGCCGGGCCCCGCCCCTCAGCAGCACCCGGTTTACCCTACCCCTAAGCCGGCCCCCCCTCCCATCCCGCCGCCGCCACCACCACGGCCGCACAATGCACAATGCACAGGTGCGGGGCGCCCGGCCGCGCCCCAACCGGCATCCCCGGCCCCCCTCCCGGACCTCGAGCCGACCCTCGGTCCCCATGGCAACGCCCGCCCCCGCCAGCCTCGGCCCCCTAACAAATCAATGTGCCTGTGCACATCGGGCTTCTGTGCACAGCCCTGCGAGCTCGAGCCGGCGCGGCGAGCGGTGGAGGCCAGGTTGCTGGGGCCCGAGCCCGAGGGCCGACGGCGTGCCCCCTCCCTAGCCCTGAGGTTCCACCTGCCGCGGCTACCCACCCCAGCCCGGAGTCGTTGAGGGCTGACCCGGGACACCCCTGGTGCACGGCTGAGAGCTCGGCCGATCCTGCCCCACCACTTCTGGCCACGGCCTTTCCCGACGTGCGTGGCTGACCCCGGCGCGACGCGGGCGTCTGGAAGGAAGTCAGGGTGGCCTGGGCGTGCTCGCTCTGCACACTCCTGCCCTTTGCGACGGGCACTGCACGGTCCCAGCCGGCGCTCCCTTACCCCTTTCCCTAGATAGCCAAGCTGCGAGGCAGTGCGCCCGCTCCCCGGAACGCGTGCGGCTTAAACCCTGGAGGGCCCAGACGACCGGGTGGGTTAGGGAGCCGAGCGACGGAGCTAGCCAGCCGAGGCTTCTGCCTTGCGCAGCGGGAAGCTCCGGGCGGAGGGCTGGCCGCCCGCACCCTCCCCGAAGCCAGAGCGCGCTAGCGGGGCGCGGGCAGTTTTCCCTTCACCCCCCAACCCCCCCCACCCCGCCTTTGCCAACGGGGCCAGAGCCCTTGGCCTTGCTCCCAAGCGTTGCCAGGTGGGCCCTGAGTGGACGCCTTCCTCCCCGCGGCCGTTCCATCTGAATGAACAGGGAGTCGGCGACACCCAGACCGCCCCGACGACCTACCGGGCCGCCCGGGAGAGGCCGCCGACGGCCGCGGCCTTAATCATAAGTCATTCTCGTAACAAATAGTTTCGCCGGGCTGTGCCAGCAATGCAGCTGTTTCTGTTTAAGCTTAAATACTTTCCAACAGCTTGGGCAGTAAAAATAAAGTCAGCCTCAGCCGCCTATAAGTGTCTGGTTTCCCCGCCCCAAGAAAGCCCACCCTCCGCCCGGGGCCGGGTCACTGCACGCCCGCACGACGGCCCCCTCCTGGAATCCGCCACCCGCCCGCGGCTCTCTCGGGTTCCCACTGCTGCCCCAGCAATTCCAGGCAGGCTTGAGTTCGAGGACCACCTTAGAGGTGCGGGAAGGGCGAGGGGAAGCCGCTTGGCTTGCCCCTTGCCCTCTGATGGCTGGCACCCACAGTGACCGACCTCCGCTCTCCCCCACCCCTGCAAGCTCGCCTGTGGCCCTCTGAGCCGGCATCTCCCCTCCCACCCCCTGTATCCACTGGGCGCAGTCATGGCCGCGGCGGTGGCGCAGGCTGATGGCTTCGGTTTCCTGCTGAAGAAGTTAGCCCTGGTATTCCTTGACAACTGGGTCTTTCTTTCTCTTCCTCCCTGTCTCTGTCTGTCTGTCTGTCCCCCTTCTTCCCTTCGCTCCCTCCTCCCTCAGGTCTTCGTTCCAGCGTGCCTTCCCTCCCCTTCTTTCTGCCTCCCGTTTCTTTCTTCCTTTGCTGAAATGGGGGCTTGCAGCGGGGACCGGGAAAGCCCCCGGCCCCCTCTTCTGGAAGGGGACTTAATAGAAGTCTCGCTCCCAAGCCGGGTTTCCTCCCCGGCTGGCCCGTCTGCCTGGTGGCTGAGACTGCCCTGGTCCCAGGCGCTTGGTCCGGAACAAAATGAGGCTCCAGAGGGATCGCAGTTAGCAGACTCTGGGGCATTCCTGCCGAGGCGCAACTGCAGGTCGAAGGCACTGGGCATATAAAATAACCCCCGGAACCATCCAAATGCAGGGACGGCGACCGCTCGGTCGTCCCGGGAAAGAAACAACCTTCCCCCACCCCGCCCCAGCGAGGGAGAGCAAGGCTGCAGAGGGTGTACAACTCCCCCCCACCCACCCCGCCGCCCCCATCACTTCCGTTTCAGCGGCAGTTTGGCGACTTACACGGAGGTGGCAGGTCTAGGAACTAAGTTTGTAGTCTCAGGGACCGGGAGCTAGGGGCAGAGTCCTCACTGGGTGGGCATTGGAGAACGCCGGAGGGTGCCAGGTGGCGGGGACGCAAGCTGGGGGCAGGGTATCAACCTGGCCTACTCTGGCCTGGTCCTTTCTGGCCGGTCAGCTGATGGAGCAATTTTTGGAAGGGGAGAGCCCGTGTTCCCGCTGCGTCTTTTGACCCTCCCTCCCGCGTTCAGTTCAACCCCGTCACCTCTCTCAGCCTCCGCCTGACCGCCCTCCTAGACCCGCTGTTGGAGCGAGGCTTTTCCCACGTGCGCCTCCCGGATGTAAACAAAACAAAGTTTCAA